AAGCATGGCACGACAAGTATAATTAAATATTAAAACCTGTAACAATTGAAAATAAATGTGCAAACTAAATTATTAAAAAAATTAATGCGTCTCACAAATTATTTAAAAAATAAATATGTATAATAAGTAATTTGATAATATTTATACGAATATTTATATACTCATTGACTTCGCCAGACGAATTCACATTGCAGTCATAACACGTATGTACATTTTGGTTATGTTTACACCCAGCGACCTGATCGCGGCCTGACCTATATTGTGACCCGAAGTAGGTCTAGTCATCATTCGTTTACACCGAGAGAGACTTAAAAATTGACGGGATCGTATTTGGGATCGCCCTGAATCTTACCATATTTGACAGCTCAGTCTGAAGTTACGCCTTTAGATATTTTGATCGTTGACAGTTTGACAGAATTAACAAGTGTTGTATTCATTAAGTTCGAATCAAGTTCATTAATTTTATATAATGACACCCGAGGAGTATTTTATACAGTTTTATTACCAATTTATTTTTGAAAATAATAGAAGAAGAAATCTTCTTTTTATGAATATTATGCGTAAAAGAAGACAGATGTGGGACAGAATTAAACGATTGCAGAGGCTCCAAATGGCAATGTTTACGCATTATGCACGCATGTTACCAATGAATAACATTTTGGAAACGTATTTAAATGCAATAAGAGTTGAAAGAAGTATCCCAAGTAGCACAACAAGTCACAATAAAGTCAAAATGATGTCAAAATGACTGCAAAATGACGATTTTTGATCATTTTACCATCATTTTACCATCATTTTGACGTCATTTTGATTTTATTGTGACTTGCTGTGCTACTTGGGATATGGATGAAACCGAGGAGTAACCATTTTTGGGGTGAAATTGTTCTGACGACGTACACTGATTCAGATTGGCTAGAAAGTTTTCGAATGCGAAAGGATACATTTGATTATCTGTGTTCGTTGTTACAACCGAATTTGGAGCCAAAGCCTCTTTTATTGAAATCAAGAGAACCGTTATCAGTTCAGAAACAAGTCGCTATTGCATTATATAAAATGGCAAGTTGCGCAGAGTATCGGGTAGTTGGAAACGTATTTGGCATCCATAAGTCCACTGTAAAAAAATGTTTGTATCGAGTTGTAAATGCGATCAATGAATTGATAATGCCAGATTTTCTGCGAATGCCAAATGAAATTGAAGCTTCTGAAATAGCATCACGTTTTGAGAGAATTTCCCACATACCGCAAATTATCGGATGCATCGACGGTTCTCATATACCCATATTAGCACCTTCAGAGGGTTATCGGGATTACGTTAACCGTAAGGGTTGGCCTTCTTTTAATTTACAGGCAGTTGTCGATGACAAATGCAGGTGTGTATTATTTACAATTTATATTAATCACAGGATGATACTGTAGGTCATAATTAATAAATCTTCTTATGTACAGATTTAGAGATATTTGTATTCGCCACCCTGGAAATACTCATGACGCTGCAGTATTTAAAGACTCCAATTTATACCGGAATGTTAAAAATATTATTCCACAGGTAAAGTAACAATTAATATATTTTTTTATTTATACCTTATCACATGTCTGAATATTATTTTATAATTTATATTTTAGACCACGCGAAATATCAATGGCTTGGAAGTACCATATTTTATCGTCGGAGACCCAGCGTACCCACTTTTGCCATGGGTAATGAAAGGCTATCCTGGTACGGTTACAGCCGAACAGGAGTCTTTCAATGTTTATCTCAATTCAGCGAGGGTTGCAATAGAAATGGCATTTGGGCGGTTGAAAGGACGTTGGAGAATACTTTTAAAAAAGATTGATGTTAATTACTTGTTCGTTCCAAACATTACGAGTGCTTGTTGCATTTTGCAAAATTTGTTAGAAATAAAAAATGAAGCATTTATTCAGCAATGGCTTAATTATGTGGCTGAAGCACAAAGAATATATCAACAGCCAAACGATATGGGTAATCGGGAACGTGACGACATCACTGGATCACGTATTCGTCAGCATTTAACAGACTACCTGTCGACACATTACCCGCTTCGTAAAAGTATGTTACGATAATTATTGTACGTTACTAAAATAAACAGAGAATACAATAAATATAGTTTTTTTATTTGTACATGTATATTTACTTCATATTATTGAAATCAAATAAACGCGAAGTTAATTGTGGTGAAGACATTGGAGTACTTGTCTGAAAAGAATGTCCGTAAGATGATGAAGGTAAAGATGAAGTTGTGTATATTGACGATGAGGATGACGTTGATATTGGGGGAGATAGTTCTGGTAAGCCACATGAATTTATGAATGGGGCAGATAAATGAAAAGGAATTGGAGTCGACGAGAATGGTGGACGAGGATAATTTTCATGAAAATTGCTTGGATACGGTTGCTGAAAGTTGTTCCTATGTTGCATTGCTTGCATTCCTGCCATAAAGTTATTTAACATTTTAAGTTGATGATCATGTTCCTTCTCTAACATTTCCTTTTCCCACTGACGTTGAGACATCATTTGCGCCTGCGTGGACTCATTAAACATATCCATTTGTTTTTCAATTACTCCTTGCATTTGCTGTGCCTGACATTTAGCAAAAACTTCTGCGAAGTTCTGCGCCAATTTCACCTGTGTATACCGCCCTGAAGGTAAAAACTGCAATTATCGCCCGTTTTTGTATTAAAAAACAATATTATGTAATCTAGCTAAAATAACTATTATATATATATATATAT